TCCATCAGTGCGTTAAGAACCTGAGATGCGGGAGAGACCCAACTGATTTACATAATTCATTGTTACATAAATCTTTACTGCTATTCTATAAATCGATTCCTCGCAGTTGAGTTCCACTCTCGATAAATGATACTATCACTTTATCTAAGTCGATAGTCGTGAAGCTAGTCTGTCAATAATTTATGACTTCCTTATAGAGACCTCGTGAGGACACATACGCTTCGACACCAACTGTTGCTAACGCAGCGAAACATGACGCACCAAAAGCAATCTGCGTGCAAGATCAGAACAGACGTATCGCACTACTTACGCTGCAGTCAGTAAGCATAAAGAAACGTTACAATAAACGAAAGAGATCTCCGTCTCTTACAAGCGGTTTGAGAGGCATTCAAATAGTGTTTACTCCAAATATAACTACGCTCTACTGTTACACTGTTCTAGGAGACAGAGCGCCCAAAGCATGAATCTGACCACTCAGATACACTGCCGAGATTAAGAACCTCTGGAGCAAACCTCTACTGCTACATACGTCTTTGTGACACATGGCTTCTTCGCTCAGCACTATATTAAAAAGGTGAAGCTATCCATGTTACAGGCCGTGGAGGCCCATAGGGTTCTGAGACGTCGAGGCTCCCACATTTTCTAGACAATCGGCTCACAGCTGAAAGTGAGGTTGTCAGCCTCACGCGCCGGCCGCCCTTTATCCCCGAGGAAGATTTCTGTTAGAGGCTAATCGACCCCAGGGGCATAATGCGGCTGGAAGGATTAGGTTATTTTAAAAATTCAATGACATCATCGGGAACCGAACCTACGACCTCCCGGCTTGTAGCTTATTGGCTCAACCAACTGCGCTACCGCGTGCCGCACTCAGGACAACACTACAGGACTGTAATATGTTGTTACCTTGTAAAGGTAAAGGTAAGCCTGTGTCTACATACCACGCCACAAAGTGGTGAAAAGGACGTGGAAATAAAACTCCACTTATTTTGGACCTCAGGACTAGACGTAGGTTGTTGGACATCTTCAGGATGAGACCGCCTTACTCGTATTGGATAAGAGACTGGTCTGACCCCGTGGTCGGTCTCAATATAATTGTAAACATAAAGTCGTCCCTGTACTTTATTAAGCGCCACACCATGAAGACGAGTGGGAAGTGGAGGTATAGCTCCACGGATTATTAATTTTGGCACTAGATGGAAGTTTGCTCCCAGTACCTACTGGATAGGAGGCTGACCGAGTCCCAAGGCTGGGCTGGACTATGTAGAGATAGGAGACAGAAACTGTTGCCACTACAGGTAATCAAACAGAGAATGTCCAGCTATGATGTAACGAATTGCGAAGTGAAGACGGGGTACGCTGGCCACAGGCACAGTTACAGGCTATTACAAGAGATAAGCATCAGACATGACTCCAGGAGGCTACGTCTGGCTGAACATGTGTCGAGTACAATAAAATATTCCAACACGACAAATTAGCCACCTACTTCCTGCAGCGGGAACAATTCAAGTGTTTTCATTTACCTGCTACTGTACAGTCCGTCCTAAACTGAATGTGTACTGCATCTAGTCGATTCCACTAACCGAAGGGCCGTAGTTAGATTACGTCACTCTCCAAGTCTCCCAAAGTGCAGCGGCAACCACTACACAGGCTCCTCTTGCCTTCTGCTTCGGCACAAAGCGAAGGACAAATATGAATTTATGGCCTGCACAATGATGCGAGGCTGGTGTCAGATCATCACCATGTTGGTATCACTGATGTCATGTGATCTTCATTCAAGTCTGTAAGTACCCAACTAAATCCAAATGATTGATTGTTGGGGAACCTAACATTCTGAACACTGGAACTCTCTGATTAACTGCGGGTTGCATAAATTGGAAAGGTAATTTGCTAGCCTCTACGTAACATACAGCATTTCAATTCGTACCTCACAGAAAAAGCAATTCGCCCCTATAAAAAGACGAACCGGTAGATGAATCAACTGTCTTCATTCTGAGAATCACACGAAACATACACACAATGTGTCAGCGAAATGTACAGCTTCTTAACGTTGAAACAGACGGTATATATGTATAGTTACTTGTATGCCTTAAAATGGTGGACACGCGGTAGCGTAGTTGGTTGAGGGACTATGTTACAAGCCGGAAGGTCGCGGGTTCAAGTCCCGATGAGGTCACTGGATTTTTTCAATTGAACTTATCCTTCCAGCCGTATTATGGCCCTGGGGTCGACTGAGCCTCTAACAGAAATGAGTACCAGGAGTTAATTAAATAATTTTCCTGGGGAGTAAAGCGCGGCCGGCGCGTAAGGCTGACAACCTTACCTCCATCTTTGAGCCGATTGTCTAGAAAATGTGGGAACCTCAACGTCTCACAACCCTATGGGTCTTCACGGCTTGTTACAGGGATAACTTTACTTTCTTATGCTTTCAAATATTAGATTATGGTTATTATTATTATTATGATTATTATCATTGGAGGGGGTGGGTTTCCCCATGCACCGCGACCAGTGGTCTATTGTACGTCCCCCTGTGATATCCTACCAGTCTCTATACCCTACCGGTATTGGTGCGTGCCATCAGTCCCGACTCAGCAAGCGACTTCGGCCTCCACTGGCTCAGCGGTATCTAGATGCTTCCCCCATCTACCAGAGGCGTTAGGGACTATTGTTGGGCGGGAAATGTCCTTACAAATTTGGCTCAGTGGTCTCCTTGAGACATGAGGTTCTTTTGCGTGCCGTAAAGCTACGACACGGGACCCACGGCTTAAAGTCCCTCCCGGAGGACTTGTTCCTTGAAATTTTCCGCCCTTCAAAATTCCACGACCTCCGCCGGGTTTGAACCCGCGTACCTTGAGTCATGAGGTGGGAACTACGGAGGCCGCTTAGATGATGGTTAATGATATAAGTAGGCTCAACTAATGAATGACTGTATGAGGGTAGGCCTTCTTGGCCCTTGAACCGTGACCTACAGTGGTCTATTGTGCTTAGGGCTAGGCATAACTAACCCAGTATCTGCGTGGAGTTACTGACGCTTGCCACGAAATTGTAAGCCAAAATTCCTAATGATAACAGGTCCTCCTCTCATGCGAATTTTAATTGCCCTGCTTATCCACGTTACTGGTTTCTGCCAGTAGCTCGAACTGGAAAGGGCGTGGAAGAAAGCGACATTGCTCAAATTTGAAACTCTATCCCGTTACTTGCCTGAGGGGAACGAGGTCTCAGTCGAGAAAGTAGGTCTCTTGGCCGATACTGAAGTCTGTTTCCTCCAGAATACAGCAGCAGGAACACTATGAACCAACCGGTACGTTCAGCACTGAAGAACTGACAAAGATTTGGAAGGAAGAGGTCGTGGCTTATTAGTAACTGAGAAATCTCAGAATAGTAGCCCTCTCTGACGAAATGCGAACCCGGTACTCCTGAAACAGCGATGTTAACCATTAGACTATGGCGTTCAATTTAGAAACACTGTGTAATATGGTATAAAATTTACAGACGTTTCGGAGGAACGTACTGTATCCATTTGTAGGGTCCAAAAATTAAAAAAAAAAAAAAGCAACCACACCCTAAAAGACAGAAGAAGAATATTCCTGACACACGTGGGTAAACTTCTACCATGCTATACGGCGTCACTTCCCAGAAAATCATATTGTTCAGAGACCAGGAATGTGTTTAGAAAAAGTATTTCAGGAGACGTGAATGAAACGTCGCGATATCGCATAATTACGCTCGTGCATTCTGACCATTATGTTTCGGCACAGCACTCTCGTCCTTTGTTATGCTAATGTGATGACGTCAGAGCACGCCCGCACGCCTTATCGTGCTCACTTATATTCGTGCGCAGTGATAATTAAGAACTACGATGTGAAAATGATTAGTTCGGCACCTTCAAAACGATTTGCAGCTATTTTTAATTTTCCTTCTAAAATTCTTTATGAAACGCAAAATAAAAAGATTTTGGCTTCAAACTCTTTGGGGGGCGGGGGGTGGCATCAGAAGATAAAGGACCCCTTCCTGTTATATGGGGGCGGCTCTTCCGTCTCTTTATTGCATGTCCAGGAAGTACGGTATCTCAACACGCCCCGGGAATCGCTCCATCTCTTGAAACTTTATATTAAGGAAAAGGAAACCCTGGCCGCCATGAAGTAGCCTACATAGAAACAGAGCGCATAGCGGCCTCCGTAGTCTAGAGGTAACGTTCCCACCTATGACTCGTAGTACGCGGGTTCAAATACCCGGCGGAGGTCGTCGAATTTTTAAGGGCGGAAAAATTCAGGGAACAAGTCCTCCGGGAGGGACTTTAAGCCGTGGGTCCCGTGTCGTAGCTTTACGGCACGTAAAAGAACCTCATATCTCCAAAGGAGGTCACTGAGCCAAATTAACGGACGTTTCCCGCCCAACAGCAGTCTCTAATGCCTCTGGTAGAGGGGGGAAGCATTATAGATACCTCTCAGCTAGTAGAGCCGGTCTCGCTGGCTGGGCGGGACTGATGGTAAACACCAGTACCGGTAGGATATAGAGACATAGAGACTGGTAGAAATCATAGAGGGAAGCACAATGGACCAATACTGGTCTCAGTGCATGGGGAAACCCACCCTCTCCAATAACTAACTAACTAACAGAGCGCATGCGCGACACAGAGACTTATAATGTGACAATAATGAGAACCCTGAAAAATAAAAATCTCTAAAAAGCGAAACTCTCCCTGTGCTTAAATAATAAACACTATGCTATGAAGATATGTGGAGGCGTGAAGGTACAGCTCCCACGTCTCCATGGTTTCGACACTAGACGAAGATAGTATGCATAACACACCCGAAGAAAGAGCCAATGGTACCCAACTGGACAGGATCCAAGAAAACTTCTGAACGCTGTACTTTCTGCATTAAGAATCCAACCCAATCCCTCGGCCGTCCAGCCTGTAGCCTTGCTGCACCAACTGAGCTCTCTCGGCTCCCTGATGAAGTTTCAGTGGCGTTTCAATATGATTCGTGTTGTCTCCACAGGTGCAAGCGCTGCCCTCGTCCTGTCCCCGCCGAGAGCCGAGCTGCCAGCCTCCAACATGCCTCATACAGGTAAGGCAACCAAGGCACTAGACCAGTTAGCGGTACACAATGGGGAACAGCTGTGCAAGAAAGGTCGATACTGTAATTGAATCTCGTCACTGATTATAAACTTCTGTTCTATTGCTAGTGGGGTGGGGCTAAGTCCCTTGTACTGCGGCCACTTCTGGCCTATTGTACCAGCCCCAGATGATAGGTGAGGGTGACTGTGGAGCAATTGGTGGAATCAAGATTGGCAGGGGAAACCGAAGTACTCGGAGAAAACCTGCCCGAGCGCCACTTTGTCCACCACAAATCCCACTTGACCCGACCCGGGATCGAAACCGGGCCGCCGCGGTTGGAAGCTAGCGACTAACCGCTTGAGCTATGGCGCGGCCAGATTATAAACTTGCTTCTGGCATATACATGTAGCTCAGGTACTGCAGTGACAGGGTTGACGAGAACTGAATTTCCTGTTGTGAAAACTTTTCAAGTTATATTTATACTTAGGTAAAAAGGTAAAATTATCCCTGTAAGAGGCTGTGATGGTACTCATTTCTATTAGAGACTGAGTCGACCCTACGGCAATAGTGCAGCTGGAAAGAATAAGTCAATTAAAAAATCCAATGATATCATCGGTGATCGAACCCAATACCTCCCCGCTTGTATCATAGTGTCATACATAAATTACTTAGCTCAGGCTGTAACGCTTCAAGCTTTTGTTCTGGAAATATCTGGTTCGAATATCGGCCGGGGCACGGCTATCCTGAATATGCTTTGTCGTGGGTTTCCTCAGTCCATCAAGTCCACTGTCACGGAAGGACTTTCAAATGCTTCCAAGTCATTCCTTCCACATCTGAGACCTAACAGCCTTGTTATGTCAATGTTGAGCAAAATTATCCCTGGAGTTAATTCATTAAGCACCACGCCATGAAGATGTATAAGGGGAGTGGGTATATAGCTCCACACATTCACAACTACGGATGCAGCTTCACGGCCCCAAATATCTCAGTAGGTCACGACCACTTTGTACCAGATCTTTCTAATGAATCACTCATTAATCGTCCCATTAGAGAGCCTTATATATCCCCCCCACGGAGACTGCAGATGGCGAATAGAATCAGGTACGACTCAGATGCTACGGTCTGAGTCCGTCCGTCCGTCACGCCTCGGGTCGTCGTGATATCCAGACGTAAATCTTGCTGCATCTTATGGACCAAGAGGAACTCGTTTTGTGGCCAACAGGAATTTAGCTGAAGCAAAAAGCCTGCCGTTAAATGAGTTCCACTTAGTTTCGTTACAGCGTGGCTGCGCTGTGAACACGTTGTTTCGTATGGGCCCAGCATTTTGTACAAACTAAACTGATCCACATTCCTGTGGGCTATTTTACGTGCGATGATTTCAGTACCTGAAATACATAGCGACAAATATTAGAGATGAATGAGCTGGTAGGAAGGGGTTGTTGCATAACCGAAGTGTAATGCCTGCAGTTACACATAAGGACCAAAGGAAAGCATAAGAAACATTCAGAACAACAGGTATCCCAGCCAAGATCAGAACCGAGCAGTCTACTTCTGGTAATGAAAAACGATTTTCCTTTAAAAATTGTTCTCAAGATGGCTCCAAGCGCATGGTGCGTGAGTTAACGTGAGGACACACTTTGTGTGGTCCTCTAATTAGAGTCAGGAGAGGTGTGACGGAACATTAGCCTGAAAAAAGACTCCTATAAAATTTGTACCTTTGCTATCGCGTAATATGTAAAGAGGGCGATCGAGGGTAATAATTTCCAGATTTGTTCCGGGGAAGTCGCGTGCTTCCTACTAGTTACCAGGATTTTTGGCAGGGATGTCCAAATTGACTCGAGGGTGATGGGGTTGCAAAAGAACGGATCATACAATTCCAAGAAGCAGGATTCTTAGCAGCTGACAGTCGCTTAACTACTCGAGAAAAATTCCATCTTTCACGAAACCCAGAATTAATTACCATCAGCAGCCATATTTGATTTGAATGACTTCACTACTGAACCTATTTTTCCATTGACGCCTACGTCACTTTACATTTTCTGACCGACGTGGTTTAAACTTTTCTGATTTCCCCGTGCATGCTACATGTCTCTCAAAACTCATTACCTTCACTTATCGTTAAAAACAAGGGAAGTGATAAATTTTGTAGTGAGGAACTTCACCACATATTATTAAAGTGATCAATTCACTCTGATGATATGTGGGCAGCAGGTGAGTTCATTAAGTTCCTTAGGGTAAATTTGTCCCTGTGCTTAACAAATTAAGCACTACGCCATGAAGACGTATGGAGGAGTGGGTACATAGATTCACATTTGCTTGACCTTGACACTAGCTGGACGTGAGTGTCAGATTCACGTCCCGGCCGCTTTACCCCCGGGGAAAGAACCCCCTGGTACCCATTGGATAAGAGGTTGAATGGAGCTCATAGCCGGTCTGGATGACGTGGAAAGGGGAAAATCCTTGACCCTACCGGGACTCGAACTCCGACCCATCGGTCGTCCAGCCGGTAGCCAGTCGCTATACCGACTCCTTAATTAAGTTCCTTACAATGAAGTTCTCTTGCTTTCTCTGCATTAAGTCCACATGCGCGCGCATGGATGCAACATAGAATACGGTAAGTGTTTCTCTGACCCCCGCGAAAATTAAGAGACGAACACCCTTCCGGTGAAGTCGGTCTGACGCCTTATATGTACATTCTCTCAACAGGGATATTTCTTGTAATTCAATATTACCACAGAAGAATAACGAAATAAATACGTCTGTTTATTTATAGATTTCTTCAAAGTTCAGTAAGTGAGAATATGTACAGACTTGGTGATGACAGTGAAATTATTAACGGGCCACAAATGTGGATGTTGGATACCCCTCGACCGTAAGTGACAGGCCTGCCACTGGCCTCCCGCGCCACATCGTGTGAGGTCCATCCCCCCTTCCCCACCTCCAATTTCGGACCTTATATCAGATTATTGTTAAATTATTTCAATTTTCCGTTCGAGTTCATATACACACGAAATAATACATACATAAAAACACACATTAATAAACAGAATTTGTGTGGTTACAAGGCGATGGTTTTATCGATGATGGATTTACACTACACACGGATAGAATTGTGCTTAGGGCTAATTTCACAGTGATTTTCAATTAGCAGAGCGTTCCATTATGGGAGATATACGACTGGACCTCCCATACATATATTCAAACAGGCGTCTTATTAAATCAACATCTATAAAAATGTGACAGGTATTTTTTTTTGTATCACAACACTTCAAAATTCATTACTGGTGTTAGCTGGGTAGCAGTAAGGACAGGCGTGTCTGGTCACAGCTCAGGTGACAACGTGGGCTAGCCAAATAATTAATCCTGCAGAGCAAAGTGGTTACCGTGGACACCATTTGCTGTAACTTTAAGAAACTCTACACTCCGTCCACAGAGTGCATTCACGTAATTCATGTGATTCTTAGAATAAACGTGGTTTATTTCCCGATGCAGCATTTGCTGATTGGCCTTTGCTGTAGAGGTGAAGTGTATTCCCTGTGAGACGTCGAGGCTCCCACATTTTTTAGATAGTCGGCTCACAGACTACGGTAAGGTTGTCAGCCTTACGCGCCGGCCGCCCTTTACCTCCAGGAAGATTTCTGGTACTCATTTCTGTCGGAGGCTGAGTACACCTCAGGGCCATAGTGCGGCTAGAATTAGGTCGATTTAAAAATCCAATGACCGGATCTGGAATCGAACCCGTGACCTTCCGGCTTGTAGCACAGTGCCTCAGCCAAATACAACCGCGTGCATCCCGATTAATTGGGGATTATTTTTATTTATTTTCAAATTTAAAATATGGGCATTGCGTGCGATGAATGTACCATTTTTTTATTTTATCAAGTAAAAAATGTATGTGAGAGGCCGTCCATCTCAGTGCGAATGCCGTAACTGTGAGTACCAAGTGCATAACAGCGATTTAAGGCCGACAACAAGTCAGTTCCGTAAGACTAAATGAAATCTAGGGAAGATGTGTGGAGTAATTACTAACATAGAGCTGCATGTACTCAGTGAAATTGTCAGATTGATTTATCACTGAGCATTACAGTAATCCTGACGAGGCAAACCGTGAAATCCCCTAAGTTTATCTCATGAGACGCTGGAACTGTCCCGTGAATTCGATACACGACATATTTACACGGATAAACGGAACGGTTTCCTTTGACGGGCTTCAAGTTTCCTCTAATCTGGAGCAAAGAGCCATGACACTTGGCCCTTATCACTGCAATACTGCGTGGCATCAGGGATATGATGCACGAGATTAAAGGGCTCAAGCTTGTCCAGCCGATGTTGCAGATTCCAGTGTCGCTTCTTCCAGCTTTAGCCCGCCAGATAGAGACACTGTATAGGGGGTTTCGAAATATTCGCTACAGAGTCTTGTGACTTGCGCCCTCTGCGCCGAAAATACATAGATCATGCCTGTAAATCGGCAGTGAATGTGAGTGGATGGAATTTGGTATTATGAGTTCAGATTGAAAAATGTCGAGAGAATGAAGATTTGATAACACTGGACAAAAAACCCAACATTATAAACGAAACTCAAACTGAATATCGATGTATAGAAATTGTCTGGTTGTGCAAGAGAAAGCTGCATGAAATAAAGAAAACAAATAACTTGTTTACATCTACAGTTCTGTCGTAAACGTTTCTCAATGTGGTCAATATTTAATACAAGACAAAGTGGATGAGATGGGCAGGGCATGTAGCACGAATGCAGTAGAATGGGAATGCATAGAGGATATTGGCGGGAAAGCCAGAAGGAAAGATATTACTAGGAAGACCAAGACGTAGGGGGGGGGATAATATTAAAATGGATCTTAGAGAGATCGGATCGGACGGTATAGATTGCACTGCATTGATCTGGGGCAGGATAGAGACTAATGCAGTACTCTTGTGAACACGGTAATGAATCTTCGGGTTCCATTAAATACTGAGAAGTTCTTGAGTAGCTGCATAACTGATGGCTTCTCA